CTAATTTTTTTGACGCCTCACTTTTTGATTATGGATCAAACCTGCTCCAACGGTTACCCGTTCAAGACAATCACCTGTACAAAAGGCCACTATCCATCCAGCCCCCCTTGCATTTTTTCTTTATGTTATACTGACACTGTCTAGGAGGACCACCTGTTTAAGATGACCACTTTTCTCCTCAGCAATGAACGGCCGTCTTCTTAGACAATTTTGCTGTATTAAAATGACACTGCCCACGAGATCCACCCATCAAAGACAATTGCTTTTCTCCTCCACAAAGGATGGTTGTCTTTGACAGGTTCGACTGCACATGTACTAAAAATCTGTAACTCAGTCACTTAACAGTTATCTTCCCTTGGGAAGGGGTGGGGTGGGGGATCTCTATGGTGACGTTTGACAATTGAGTTCAAAGCTAATGTAGTAAAAAAAAAAAAAAAAAAAACCAAATACACTGATGACACAAGATCTCTCTTCTTGCACAATTATGTAACTAGCCACCCTTCCACATATTATCCACCGTAAAAATAAGCACTGCATACAGTAACATATCAACATATTGGAGAAATAAATAAATATCCTTGTAGTGTAACCACAAATTTCACAGAACATAAACATACTTGAAAGGCATGCATAGCATGTAGTGAAAGACTGGGGCATAGCATTCAGTTCAGAGCGTAACCATTTTCTTTCTCATGGCGCCATAACAGTTTGTCATATCAAAGACACATAATGAGGCGCCAGAGTATAAATATGGTTTTTACATAATAATGCACAAAGTAAAAACAAAGATGGAGAAAAAAAAGAACAAAACAACCCCAGAGTGAGCAAAACTCAACATATTTTTTTTAACCCTTTCATTTCTTTCAATAGGATGACTTTTTCATTCCCGGGTACGTCAAGATGTGGAAAACTGCAATTTTATGACGAACCAGGCAGACTGCTACAATAAGACATTGAAAGAGTTAACAAGTCACATAAAAAAAAAATCTTCAACTTCAGCGGAGTCCGGGATCAGGTACACACAGCAAACAGTTAGGGCAGAAATACAAATAACCTCTGCGAACATTTCTTACTCTTGTCAGATGCACTGGAAAGCAGTACACATACAGGCTTGTCAACTTTTGGAAAACCCAGTCAGGGACACTCATCATTACAACATCAGATTGCGTAGCATTAAACAGGATTGCATCAAAGAGGGGGTAGTTTTGGTGTACTGTAGGTTCAGTTTAGTTTTAGTAGAGGTTTTACGGCACTCACAACTGCATAAGGTTATATGAGCGCCAAGGGGTGGATGTCAACAGAGAAGTCCTTACAGGGAATCAAGGCTTACTCAGCTCAACTCTCTAGCTTCAACAGCACAAAGTCTGCTTCGACTATCAAGGCACCCCGGATTAAGCCGGTCACAAGAGCAACAAACAAAAAATTAAAGGAAAAATGACAATAGTAAGGATTAGGAAAGATAAAGCAGCAGTTCCCTGTTGCAGTTCAGGCACAGTTATGAACATGACATTGATGAATCAACCCATTTACAATTCTACTGTGCATAAGAACATGTTAAAGTCCCCCCCTTTGGAAATGGCCTAAAGACACTTCAGTCAGTAGCACCGCCCCAGGGGGGAGTACTGTAGGTGATAAGCATGCAGCTATGCATACAGTACAGCATCTCATCAACAGCAATCGCACACTATGCGAGTCCAAAATTGCTTCTGTCAAGAAAAACAGTAAACGAGTGTCAAACACGCCAGAAAAAGGATATATTATGATATTTTTCATATGCTAGTATCGTATTTCATAATTTTCAATTAATAAACTTGCATACTGTCAAGTCATTATACAAAAGAGTTTCTAATCTAATTGATCTTTTTTAAATTTTAAGACAAAAATAAAACGACTTAACTTCAGAAATCCTATGGTTTGCCACTGCAAATGTTGATACATGTGATCTTGTTAGTCTGACTGAAGGGTGACGCTGAGGGACCCACTCTTCTTTGCATAAATAGCTCTCCTTTTGAAAAAAATTTTTTAAAATGTTTTACTGCGCTCGCAACTGCATAACTTCATATGAGCGCGTGGGACATGTCAAACATTTTCAGTAGTCAGTAGGTATACTCTTATTGATTTTAGACCTCCCAAGATTTTTTGCCTAGAAAGCTAGGTGTAGATCTTGCCTGCCATATGACCAGGGGTGTAGCTGAAAGACAGCAGGCAGTAAGGAGTCAAGGAGTAGCAGTAGAAAAGTTGCAGAAAGAGTCAGGATCCCAGATGATGGAAACACCTTAACCTCTAAACCACAAGAGCCCCAAATAAATACCTCTCCTAAAAAAAAAAAAAAACCTTTGTGCAATAAAAAAAAAAGAAGAAGAAAATTCTGTAAAACCAGCTGTAACGAATACCTGTCCTAGACAATCATCGCTACGAACTACCCCCCCCCCCCAATGTCATTTAAAAATTTTTTCAATGACTCTGCCCAAGAGGACCACCTATCTAAGATGGCCACTTTTCTCCTCCAAAATGGGAGATTGCCTTGGACAGGTTCGACTGTAAGTTGTAATCTTGGGTACCTTTTTTTTTTCATCTAATGTAAGATAAATAAGCAAACTTTAAAATAAAACCAATAACTCCATTTGTCAAAAAATTGACGAGCGCCCGATTTCACTGTGTCACGACACATTATACGACTAAATGAAAATGTTTTTATGACGCACATTACATCCAGAAGCATAATAAAGACAACAGTTGAAGTTCCAGATCACAACTTTTTTTTACGCCTCACTTTTTGATTATGGATCAAACCTGCTCCAACGGTTACCTGTCTAAGACAATCACCTGTACAAAAGACCACTACCCATTTCACCCTCTTGCATTTTTTTCTTTATCTTATACTGACATTGTGTAAGAGGACCATCAGCATAGATTAGAGGACAGGCGTCTAACACTAACACTAACAGTGTTCACACAAAAAATGAGGCAAATAAGAAGAACCAAACATTTCGGCCATGACAAAAGATATCATTCCATTTTCATACAGTATCACTATGTAACACTTGCAAATGAGGACCATTGCCTCGACTCTTAACATTAACATTCTAGATCGTGAACTTTTAAGGCTGTCACTCTTTGCTCTCCACAAAATCTTTGTCACAATAAATGAGGTAAATATGAAGAACCAAACATTTCGGCCATGACAAAAGATATCATTCCATTTTCATACAGTATCACCATTTAACATATGCAAAGGAGGACTGTTGCCTTGACTTTTAACATTAACATTCTAGATCGTGAACTGTTATGGCTGTCACTCTTTGCTCTCCACAAAATCTTCGCTGCGCCGGTGCCTTCCATGGGCGCCTAAATGAAGGGCAAAACACCAGTCTCACTACGGTGGAGCGTACATGCAACCTTTTTCCCCTCGAGCCCTTCATTCGGCTCCCAATAGAGTCAAATGTTGCGCTTCGTAGTGAACAGGAATTACGTCAGAGGTCATAGTCTAGGACATTACACAAGTCTATGGTGAGCCATGAGGACTAAACACAATGTGATTCTCTGCTACTGAGACAGAGCTATTACCAGATCAGCACAGCTAGTGCCCCCCCGGTACACACTAAGAAGAATATACTGATGGCTTTATGCTCCAAGTACGTAACTACAACCTAACAAGCACATAGCAAATATGCACACAGTGAACAAGTACATTAAGATTTTCACAGTTTCCAAATTTTTTCGGACACATGAATACATTTTTTCTATTTGAATTTTAAAACATGTAGGCCTAAATATAGCCAAATTTGTTCAAAACAAAAACACTTCTGTGTCCTACTCATTTCGTTATATTGTGCTTGACCACTCTTTTAAAAAAACTTTTCAACAACTGAACCACACCTCTCATTTAAATGATGAGATTAGAGTTAGACACAAATTTTAATTAAACCACAGTACCTTTCCTCGGAAAAAACCAGAGGTGACCTTTTTATTCCAGTCACAAGATCAGAGCATAACACCATCCGTCAATATTCATGAGATGTGGAGTCGGCATGTTGCAAACAGCCTAGCTATCAACACTGCCCAAATAACTTTCTCCCTCAGCATCATTTGCCATTAATACAGTCAGTTTTAAAACATACAAGCAAGAACCAGATGTTTTTGAGCAAAGTGTAACCATTTCAAGGGAAATATAAGAAATTCCTTGTTGACCCTGAGTAATAAGCTCAAAATCAATCAAGTTTTGGTACGGTACATACTTATGACTTAAAAATAAAAAGATGAAACTGGAGAAAAGATAAAGAGGCTATGAACCAGAAAGCGGGGAGATAAGAATGATAAATATTAGGAAAGAAGGAGTAAACCACACCACAGCACCTGCCAAACATCCATACCCTGAGTACAAAATTTACTCTGAAAACAATGTCTGTCACATCAAAGAACATGAAGGAAAAGGCAGAAGTCTGTACAGTGAACATGTCGTCATCCATACCACGTACTAGGGTAAGCGACATTTCGGGCAAACTGGAGTTAGAACCGCCAAGCGAGTACTTAACCTATATTCTACTATCTCGAGAATTCTGGTATTGATACCATTAGCCGTTACAGAGTTATATTAAGATTTGTGTTTTTCAAACTTGCGCATCCATTATTTTGCAGAGTTGCCAAAAATTTCGATTTGCTCTCCTGAATAATTAGCAAAACGTCGCTTATGACGTTTGTACGTAATTCGGAAGATGACGATGTGGCAATGACAGCAATGTGGACGGCTCTTCTACGATCTTTTACAGGCTTGCAATGCTCATTTTTGTTGTGAAATGGTGGAATCAGGCGCTCGTCAATTTTTTGGGTACGTGGTGTTATTGGTATTATCTGAAAGCTGATTTATTTGCCTTGCTTCCACTGAAATAAATATCCATTTATCTTGAATAGAAGTCAGATAATTTTGATTGAAGGAGGTGCGGCCGCCTGGTTTCAGTGGTGAAATTAGTGAGAAAATAGCTGCCAAAGTTTGATAACACCATAGCTAAAGAGTACTAGAAAACTGAAAAATGACATATATTGTACCTTTAATCAATGTATTTCGGTAAAATTCATTTGGAAATCTGTTCTACATGAACATAAAAGTGGGTGAGTCCAAAACTAAAAATTCAATTAAAATTTCCAAACCGGCGGAAAGAAAAGATACCTGTTTCTCCGATTTCGTTATTTTGATGAGCTACTGGTTTCACCACGCTGCCTCACATTTCTCTCTGCAGTGCTACATATTCCACCTATCACTAACTTCCAACACTCTAATCACAGTTGCACAAGTCTATAGACCATATCTACCTGTCTCAGTCTGTATAATCGTACACTTCACTTAAACAGACCCACACAACCATCGGACACAAAACACTTTGAGGGTCTAACATCTTCCTGAAAGGTTAACAATACAAACAGTTCTTTGCAAACCCGAACAACGAATTCGGTAAGCAGTGAGCGTGCACAGTTTCAGATAAATCAACTCACAAAAATGGTAAAAAAAGCGGTTTATGGATCTCATTTAAACTGACCAGTGGGCAGATTCGGATCCTCATAACCATCATACACCGGTCCAACATATAAGTTGTTCATCACAACCTCGCACGTTTCAACATAATGTCTGATATGGGCTCTTGAGAGTGTGCATTATCTGCAAAGGAAATCTGAGAAGGCTGTATGTGAATGTTGTATGTTATTGTAAAATGTGAATGTTGTATGGTATTATAAAATGTGTTGTATGCTATTAAACTGTGAATGTTGTATGTTATTGTAAACTGTGAATGTTGTATGACATTGTAAAATGTGAATGTTGTATGTGAATGTTGCATGTTATTGTAAACTGTGAATGTTGTATGTGAATGTTGTATGTTATTGTAAACTGTGAATGTTGTATGTGAATGTTGTATGTTATTGTAAACTGTGAAGGTTGTATGAGAATGTTGAATGAGATTGTAAATTGTGAACGTAAACTGGGAAAGTTGTGGGTGTATGTTATCAGAGAATGTCATCTGTTAATGATATTTGTGAATGTTGTTCGAGAGTATATAATGCAAATTCTGTCTTTAAAACGACCTGACTATCGCTCCTGCCTTTCAGTCTCCCGAACTCCGAACTGTTCGGGGTGAGAAACCAGTCCTGCGGTCATTGTGCCGTTCTGTGGGCCGAGTGACCGAAGACACAGATTGTTCTCTCGCTGCGTTTGAAACATGTCCAGTCATTTCTGTGAATTTTGTAGTAATGTAAAGTCATTCCAGACCGGCAGTCCATCACGACTTGATCGTTGTCTCTTTACCTCGTGTGCACAGTGACGTCTGTCTCTGGGGTCAAGGTCGAGGTGCTGTGGCCGTCCTCGCTCTCCGGGCTGTCGGGGGATAGCTGTTCCTGCTGTCGCTGCCGTCTGCCGAGCGATAAAGGGGAGAGAAAGGAAAGGGGGGGAAAGATAAAAACAAAATTAGGAAAGGTTAAAAAATAAGTTTTATATTTAATTTAGTAAGAGTTTAACGGCATTTGCAGCACCACAAAAAGTCATATGAGTGTTAGAGATGCTAAGAACAACACCAAAAGTTCTCTTTTGCAAAGCAATCTTTAGCAGGAAGTCTATGGTAAGAGAAGGAGGAGGCAGAGGAAGAAAAAGGGGGAAAGAGGAGCGGTTTGTGGGCCTGAAGCTTTCATTATTTCAAAGTAAAAACTGCTGGCCCATCCCAACAAAATTTTAAAAAATGTAATTGCAGATATTTACTTCCTACGCCGTGCGACATGATTAAGATCATTTAATGGGAGGGCTATTTAGACTCTGCCTGTCCGGGCCATACCGAGCTGAGAGGGACACAACGTCCTAGCAAATGAGTTTTCTAAAAGTTTATATACCTCTTCACTTGAGAATCGGAACTCACATCTTCTGCAAGCAATGGCAAGGTGCCTCATCGCTACATCCCCCACTGACACTGTTTAGATTTTTAAGGAGTCTGGCTTCCGACCCTGCCCGTCAGGGTCTTTCTTCCCTCTTTGGAAATGAACTCGGGTCTCCAGCATGACACAGCAAAAAGACTAACCACTACACCACAGACGCAAGAGGTTTTACTGTACATTCTTATCTCAACAGCTGATGACAATGACCACAGTGGGCCAATATGAGGGAGACAACTAAAGTCTTTTAGTAAAAATGAATTACCTATTATCTATTTGAGGTGGCCGAATTTTGCTATTCAAAAGGCTTTTTAATGGCTGCATCGATCGACAAGCGGTTTTCGCCAAAAGATTCTTTAAAATATTCTCCAGATCTTCGTTTTTTCAGTTTTGAGACAGTTTTGCTGCAAAAAGCTAAATTTTGTAGGCCGACACTTCTGTCTCTGTAATTTCAGAAAATCCACCAGGTTTCAAGTCGTACTTCCATTCGATACTATCGCCCATTGTCGTGCAATACTGAGCTCTATTTTAAGTGTGCAACCCGTATAGATGTTTTCTCATGTTTTCTTTTTTTACTTGGTGCTAAATTCGACTGTGATCCTTTCGTTTGATGCCCATCATCGCTTTTTCTGGACTCCTTTATCAAATTCTTTTTCTTCCTACGGGGAACAACGTCAACATGTCTTAGATTAGAATCTAGATCGAGATAGCGGCTGACCATGCCGAGAAGAAAACAATGTTCTGCAGTTGGAACCCCTCACACTCGCAAAGGTCGAGGTAGTAGGCCAATAACTTTTAGTTGATGTTAATGTACCGATCATCCCTTTCATCGAAAGGGGGCCCAGCTAGTGTTATAATATTCCCCACTCTACAGCAAGCTCAATGGGCTTTACAATCTATATCATTACCCCTGCAGACCTGACAACATTCTCACCTCTCCCTGATGGATACAGAGCAAGCAGCCTAGAGCTCAAACACTTACAAACTGACAAGATCTTTCCCTGTCGATATCCCGGTACCCATTCCCACCTGGGTATAGTGAGGAAAATTTGGGTAAAAAGGATTTCTCAAGGTTACGACATCAGGTCTCTGATAGGATTTGAACCAATGACCTTCTCGTTGCAGTGAACCCATGATCTTCTGGATGCGAGCCAACAGCCTTACCATTAAACTACCAACAGCACACAGTACTCACCTGGCCTCCATGCGTATACACTTGGGACACTTGCCAGGGATGAAGCAGTGTTTGTGGTAGCACGACTGGCAAACTGGGGACAAGTTTTTATTAAATTTTAGTGCGAGTTTTACGGCGCTTGCAAAGAAATCAGGTCATAGAAGTGCCGATTTTTGTTTTGTTTGAGCAAAGAGAAGCACATCGACACACTTATGGTCATTTAGAGCAGAGAAAAAGTAAGACAGAAACAACAGAGGGAAAGTAAAGAAGTAGGACCTACCAGTGACACCCTCCAACCACCCACACAGACAGAAACAACAGAGGGAAAGTAAAGAAGAAGGACCAACCAGTGGCACCCTCCTCCAACCACCCGCTATACGAGAGTGATATACAAATAAAAGGAGGAGGAGAGAAAAGGACGATAGATGTCTGATGGGAAAGAAGGAGCAAACCGCACCAAAGCATCCGCCAACCACCCGTTTCAGGACAGCGACAGAAACACGCAGAACATGAGGAAAGTGAGGCGCGGCCTTTGTTTTTTTGTTTTTCATAATTTTGTAAACAATAGGTCTAATTACTCCCCCATCACCTAAACTAAGCAGAGATGCCACTCAACTTTTTAGAAAATAGCTGAAAATCCACGCGTCACGGTCTCGCTAATATATGAATATCAATTTGAAACCCAAAGGGTGTACATAGAGAGAAACGGATCCAGGCGGGTGTTTTCCCGACTTGCTGAGATTAGCGCAAATCTTCCGGGTTTATTTTCTTCCCGCTATTTGAACTTATGGCGAAGTCTTCGTTTTTCCGTTATTTGTACATTTGGCGCAAGTTGTGTGTGAGTGTGTGTGTGGTTTTTTTTCCCAAGTTTAGATTCTATATTGCTCTCAATAATGGAATAGCGGATCAGGATCAAAATACAGGGGAAATACCGGGAAAAAGCGAAAAAAAAGTGGCATCCTTGACTAAGATCACGTAGGAAGCAGGCTTCAACGCTCCGCATCAGGGACCAACCCCGGCTGAGAGGTGTTTGGTTTTAGTAGAGGTTTTACAGTGCTCGCAACTGCATAAGGTCATATGAGCACCAAGGGGTGGAAGTCAACAGAGAAGTCCTTACAAGGAATCAAGACTTACTCGGCTCACCTCTCTAGCTTCAACAGCACAAAGTCTGCTTCGACTATCAAGGCACCCCGGAAATAGCGGGTCACAAGAGCAACAAACATACAAAGGAAGTAGAGAAAAAAAATGATGATAACAAGGATTAGGAAAGAAAAAGCAGCAGTTCCCTGTTGCAGTTCAAGCACAGTCATGAGCATGATATTGATGAATCAGCCCATTTACTGTGCATAAGAATATGGTTGGTTAAATGCCCCCCTCTTTGGGAATGGCCTAAAGACACTTCAGTCAGTAGCACCGCCCCGAGGGGTGTGAGATGGATACAACCTCCCACCCAGCAAAAAGGCTGATATTAGACAAAAATTCTCCCCACATGGGAATTGAACCCATGTCTTCTGCATGCAGCAGTGAAGCACTTTATGGCTACACCACAGATGCCAGTGGGCATGCATTGCGGGTGGAAGGCTAGAAAAAAAAATCAGTGACATAACTGAATCATAGCTAGATCTAGCCGTTTCAAGGTAACACCCTTCCCCGCTGGATGAGTAAAATTGTGGAATCCCTTGCAAACTGAAAGAGTTAAGATTTCCAGTTAAGCATATCCACATTCCAAAAAAATTGATTTTCTTATTTTCTTTTTCTGCTTCTTAAAATTTAATTTTTTTTGTTTTGAGACACCCTCTCATGAAAATTTCCAGATAAATAGATTTGACTTTTACGAAAAATAATACCTTAATTTCTTATATGAAAACTCTATCTCTTTCTCCTCTCTCTCTCATTCACTCCCTCCCTCCCCCCCACCTCCCCCCTCTCTTTTTCTCTCTCCCTCCATCCCCCCCACCTCTCTCTCTCTCTCTCTCCCCCCCTCTCTCACCTGTACACCTGGTCACTGTGGCCAGCTGGAAGGGGAAGATGACTTGGGGGTCATTGCACATACCACAGATGAAGCCCAGGCCTTGGCACAACTGTAAAGGGGAAAATTATCAAATGAGAAAGGCCCAACAGTACAGGGGAAAATGACCAAATGAGGATGGCACAACTGTAAAGGGAAAAATGATCAAATGAAAATGGCACAACTGTACAGGGAAAACTGACCAAATGAAGATGGCAAAACTGTACAAGGGAAAATTATCAAATGGGGACCCCACAACTTTGAACTGTAGAGAGAAGAATGATCAAATGAGAAATGTGTCATAATGTGGTGGAATCAGGTACTCAATGGACACAAAAAGGAGTTGAGCCCCCCCCCCCCCCCAAATTTCAGTAAAATTGCAAAAACCGTCGGAAAAATGCTGATTTCTTTGATTCCATTATTGTGACGAGCGCCTTATTTTACTCTCGTTACCTCACAAATAATGTGAACAAAGTATTGAACAGATAGACTGAGTCTAGCAACTGTCCTACTCACCGGGCAAGCGTCCACATGAGCGATGGCCGAGGACACGAAAGACTTGATGTGAGTCAACATAACACCACTCTTGACCTGTGGAAACACAGCGGTGAGTACTCGGTCATTGTACGGTATAGTCCCGCCTGCTCTAACTGTCACCTGTACAGACACTCACTTCCCTCCCTCCCTCCCTCTCGTCATTGTACTTCTGTATAGTCCAGCCTGCTCTAACGGACCACCTGTCTAAAGACTATCACTTGTACAAATTCCCACTTCACAATACCTCCCTCTCTCATTCATCTCCCTTTCTCTCTCTCT